AGACTGAATGTTCCTAAATGTGAGTTTGGTAATACTGAGCTTATTTTCCTTGGTCATCTGGTCTCTTCCAAGGGTTCTCAGCCCTGTTCAGAGAAGATAGAGGCCATCCTCGACTTTCCTTTGCCGGTCACAGTTGCAGATCTTCGCAGATTCCTAGGGCTGGTCAATTTTTATCGTCGTTGGCTTCCTCAGGCAGCCTCCGCACAGGCCCCTCTTTTTGATTACACGGCTGATTCAAAGAAAAACGATCAGAGAGTCATTGACTGGTCTCCAGAAGCCAAGCAAGCCTTTGAAACCACCAAGAGTCACTTGGCTAAGGCTACCCTCCTGGTCCATCCATCTCCTGACGCAGAAACACGTCTCGTTACAGACGCTTCTGATTTTGCCATAGGTGCTACCCTTGAGCAACTCTTTAAAGAAGACTGGAAGCCCCTGGCATTTTTTTCCAGAAAATTTAGCTAAGCTCAACGAAACTACAGTGCGTACGATCGTGAGCTCACGGGGATTTATGAAGCTATTAAATATTTTAAGCACTTCTTAGAGGGTCGTGATTTCAAGGTCGTCTCTGACCACAAGCCCCTAATCTACGCGTTTATTCAAAAGTCTGACAAGGCCTCTCCTCGCCAGCGGAGACAGCTCTGCTTTATTTCACAGTTTACTACTGCCATTGAATACTTGCCAGGTTTGTCAAATGTGGTGGCAGATGCACTCTCTAGAGTAGAAGTCATTCGTCTTCCTCTTGAGTTAGAGCTCCCGGAGTTGGCCAAGGAGCAACAACAGGACTCTGAGCTCTCAGAGCTGCTGAAATCTCCTGCCCATTCTCTCAATCTAAAACCCATTGAATTGGGTCACAGCCACACTAGTCTTTATTGCGATCTCACCGGTAAGATAATTCGTCCTTTTATTCCTAAATATCTTCGTAAAAGAATCTTTGATTTAACTCACTCCGCATCTCACCCGGGTACTAAAGTTACTGATTAGCTCATCAGACAAAAGTACGTGTGGCCGAATATGCATAGAGACATTGCCACTTGGTGTAAAGGTTGTCTCGATTTCCAGCAATCAAAAATCTCCAGACATGTCAAAAACGAGCCTTTACAATTCATCGCTCCAGATGATCGGTTTCGCCATGTCCACATGGACTTGGTTGGCCCTCTTAACACTTCCCAAGGCTACTCTTACATTCTCACAATGATTGACAGATTCTCTAGGTGGGTGGAGGCTGTGCCTCTCAAAGACATATCCACTGCGTCAGTTCTTCGAGCGTTTCAGGAATCCTGGGTTGCTCGCTTTGGGGCACCCAGATTTTTGACCACCGACCAGGGATCACAGTTCGAATCACAGCTCTTTCAAGCCTATCTTTCTTTTCTCGGTTGTCAGAGAATAAGAACGGTGGCCTATTATCCTGCTGCTAATGGCATGATTGAGCGGTGGCATCGCAGCTTTAAGGTGGCCGTGATGTGTCACAATAATGCAGATTGGGTCAAACTTTTGCCTACAGTGCTTCTTGGTCTGCGTACAGCAGTAAGAAGTGACACAGGTGCTTCCCCTGCGGATTTTCTCTATGGTACAAACATTAGGGTACCTGGTGAATTTTTTCTTCCCAGTGATTTCACTGCTGATCCTCAGATCTTCATCGAGGACTA